AAAATGTGCTGTTAGCAGCCAAGAACTTATAAGGCTCTTTATTCAAGCCGTCGTATTTGAATCTTCAACTCCCCATCGTTCTTTTTTTCTGGGATGAATGTTTAAATGATTATTAACATTTATACCTTACGTGGGATCTTCAATAAGCAAAAATGTCCAAAATTCAAACACCATGATGTAAAATCATCCCACTGTGCATGTTTAGTGCACTAAGAATAACAACAAAAATGATCATTTCAAACTACTATCTACCTACACACACGCACACACAGTTAGTTAATCATAGACGAAAATAAACTTTCGCCTGTTGCGACTGGGTATAGCTTTTTTGTTATTGTTATTTTTTTTGTTTTCTTACTAGTATTACTTCTTTTTTCTCTTCTTATTCACTCCTTTTGCAGACAAGATTAACAAAATACCACAAAGAAGTTAAACTGCAAAGCAACTCTTTTTTCGGTTTTAATTCATGCTTGGCTGATTTTCAGACTCCAACAAACATTGAACAAACTTGGCTGATTTAAGACAATTTTGTATTTCGTTGTTGTTGTTATGTTTATTTTTCTTAATTGAATTAAATTTAAGAAATAATTTATTACTGGATTGTGTGTTGGACGACGTTGTGATGGTAGGTAGGTGCCTACTTCAAAAAAATTTCCTTTCACACAATTGAAATTTCAAATTTCGTGTTATACAGATACGAAAATAAACATTTTTTGCACACCTTTTTCTTTTTTTTCGAAGCTGTTGCTGTTGTTGTCTTTTTTACAATTAATTTTGGTTAACGAGAAATGCGAAATGCATTGATGATGCCCCAACCAAACAATACAACAATATACACACACTTTATTTGCTGGGGAACAACAACAACAAGAATTGCGGGGGGAAACCGGCCAGCAGGCAATACGATCCATAAATTTTAGATCACTCACAAAATAACACAATTTTTAGGCTTTTTCTTCTCTTTTTTCTCTCTCTCACTCTTTCTCTTTTTTTATTTGGCTTTCTTTTTGGCCAATTCTTTTTCGATTATTAAGGCCTTATCTTATTTTGAACTTAATTACAACAAAACAATGACATTCGTTTGTTATTTTTTTATATTACAATATGGACAATAATAATTTATAATTATTTTCAAATTTTATTTTGCCGTATATTTTAATATTATTTTTATTGATATTGCTTATTATTCTTCTTTTTCGATTTTTTGTTAACAACTTCAGTAACAACAAATACACAACCCGCTTTGTTTTACAACACAAAAACCCAATAAACAACTTTCAAAAAAACGTGAATGGAACGAACGAAGAACGAGTGATACGAACACACACTAATCTAAACACACACGACACTAACTAAAGCGAGCGAACGTTAAACGTTGTTGGTTGGCTAGTTAGCACGATGGACAAAAACACAACACCTGCACCACACAATAGAGCCGCAGCCGTTGCCGGTCAGCGCCGTTACATTTGTTCTTCTACTGAAAACATCATTGGCGCAGCGTTTCATAAAATAACGGCGTCGCTTTTAATGCCTGTAAAGAAGAAATGAGAAGAAAAAATGATGCTGCTTTCAGTCAATGGATTTAATAATTTCGGTTTCAAAAATACTGAAAGACAACAATTTCGAAAAAATAAAATTATAAAAGAATATGGTCATGATATAATTAAGAATTTAAAGTCATCATATGTTGAGCATTTTTTAGAATTATTCATCTGATAACATCTCATAGCATGTCATTGTCATTCATCTGATAACAATCCATTGTTTAGGTCAAGTAAAAGTTTAGGTCGGGTCTTTCAGCTTTTGAATTATAAAAGGCTTAATAGTATGAGATTACCGGATTTAGTAAACCTAGTAGATTTCAGTTGGTATTCAATCAAATAAATCCCAATAAATAATAAGGAGGTGCAACAATTTCGTTTAACTACAGAAATACGGCCCTGAGGCTATGCCCGCTTTCATTCAAAATTATATGCAAGAAGTGGTTTTCATTTATATGATATTTTTGCTATTTTTTTAAAATGAGTTAAATAGCGCGAAAAATGAATGAAATGACTTGATTTACCTTTTAAAAAATGATCCAAACTGCTCAAACTTTCCAGGGCAAAACTGGTTAATAGCCTTAATGCAGAAGTCAGGCACACTTAAAGTGAGAATACAAAAAACGCTTTTTTGAGCGACTTAAGTCATCGGCTGGCTACTTCGTGGAGATTTAGGTTGACTTAGTTCGATCAAGTGCCCGCTACTATGTCAGAGCAAAGTCCACCCTAAAATTTTAGATTCGTTCCAAGAGTTCGTGTTAAGGTGAAAATACATAAAACTCTATTGACTAGCTTATGTCTGTTTCGGAAAAGAACAAAGAATCTTAGCGCCAAAATCGAACTATCTTGCTTTAGGTCTAGCACTTTTGTTCCTCTACGAAGAATCCATCCGATCAGTCAAAAAAGCGTTTTATGTATTCTTACCTTTAGACTTTTTTTGTATATATTATGTATCAGCGTAAAATTCTAAGACGATTTAGCTATCTTTCGAACGAATTGTGATAAAAGGCGAACATTTTGCAGACATTTGCATTTTGCAGTAGGCAGGTTAAGTTCGTAAATGGGTCATATCGCTCCTCGTTTTCGTATAGCCCCATATAACGGTATCTCCCGATATTCGGTATTTTGATGAACTTTAAATACCAAATTAGAAATGATTCCGGTAAAGAATGTCGCTAAAATTATCAAAATACCGAATATCGGGGGTACCGTTATATGGGAGCTATACGAAAACGTGGACCTACATGGCCCATTTTCTGTTTTATGCTGTAGTATATTTTGTGAACTTCAAATACCAAATTTGAAACAATTCCTGTAAATAATGTCGCTAAATTCAACAAAATACCGAATATCAGGAGGTACCGTTATATGGGGGCTATACGATGACGTTGACCTACATGGCTCAGTTTCTGTCTTAGGATGTAGTATCCATTACGAACTTCAAATACGAAATTAAAACAGTTCCGGTAAATAATGTCGCTAAAATCATCAAATACCGAAAATGGGGGGGTACCGTTATATGGGGGCTATACGAATACGTGGACCTACATGGCTCAGTTTCTGTCTTAGGATGTGGTATCCATTACGAACTTCAAATACGAAATTAAAACAATTCCGGTAAATAATGTCGCTAAAATAATCAAAATACCGAATATCGGGTAGTACCGTTATATGGAGGCTATACGAAAATGTGGACCTACATGAACCATTTTCAAGTGTAAATCAAAGAAACCAAAAGTGGCATCCATATCAAATTTTAGGACTTAGCTCTATGCCTTCAACCAAGACCAAATTTAGTACCATTCAGTACTTTTCGTACATTTATAATACATATTTCCAAAACCACCTCCATATCTCAATCCCAGATACCAACAGACCTCAATATTAAATTTCATGATTTCAGCTCTATCCCTTCACCCAATACGAAATTTACTACTATTTAGTACCTTTCATACGCTTGCTGAGCGCATCCTATCTAGCAGCAGAGACCCCAATACCAACTTTTTATATTCCAAGGTCAACCCAAAAACTAATTTTACCGAGTTTAGTACAGTTGTTGCACTTAGTACACATTTCCAAAAACACTTATGTACTTATACCCAAACTTAATTTTTACACCAAATGCTGAGATTTTAGCTGTATTCGTTTACCAAATACCAAATCTCACCCCTACCCAACAACATTGACCCATTTGCACAATATCAAGATTCTAGTTTCAGCCGTTTCGCCTGGGCTTCGATGAATCAGTCAGTCAGTCAGCCCTTCACCTTGGAAAGGAGGATATAATAAATTTGTCATTCCGTTTTAACATATCTAAATATTCGTCACCTCTAAGATATTCGTCTTGATCAGCATAAAGTTCTAAGTCGATTTTACGATGTCAGTCTGTTGAAATCACGATACAGGCCACATTATTTGACGTAGAGTTTCAAATTTGACACAGTGTTTGTATTGTGTCTAGGATGGTTGGTATTGAAAATGAGATATATCGGTTCACGTTTTGGGATAGTGCCCTTATAACGGTAGCTTCCGGTATTTGGTGTTTTGATGGTTTTAGCCACATTTTGCCACGAATTGGTATAAAAATTGGTATTTGTAGTTCGTTATGGGTTCTAGCGCCGTTGGCGGAATATCTAGGTCCACGTTTTTCTATAGCGCACATATAACGGTACCTTCGTATATTCGGTATTTTGACGATTTAAGCCACATTTTCTAATAGATTTGTGTGAAATTTAGTTTTTGTACTTCATAATGGGTTCTATTTGATATATAGATCGATATTCGGTAGTTTGATTTTGTAGTATGAAATTGCTATATGGGCTCTCGTTTTGGTGTGGCCACATTCTCCTACCGATTTTACTGATGTTTTTAAAGTGAAACGCGTTTGAACCCAGATACTTTTGTACAAAAATGCTTTCTTTACCTAATGGTGAAGGGCATTAAAAGTTCGGCCCGGCCGGTTTTTTTTACTTATTTTTGACTCCTGATCTTTAACAACATTTGAATACGTTTACCCAATTTGAAGTAGACTATAAAATTGTATACCATTGATTTCCAGTGTTAAAAATACATTGTTAATATATTTTATACAAATAAAATACAAATTCTATATTGGTGAACATAATTTTTATTTATTTTCGTAATTAAAAATGTATGTATGTAGAAAATCTATAAATTATCTCTCCTGTGGATTAATGCAGCAACTGGTCGGCTTTTCTTTTAAAATTGTTGATATGATTTGGTTCGTTTAATGTAATATTTACCATATTTGAACCATTTACCATTGAACCATTATTTTCCATATAAAAATTAATATTCAATTTAATATACATTAACACAACTTCTGGCAACGAATAACTCACAAAAAAAAAAATAAAAAAGGACAAGGAAAATATAAAAAGGGACCTGTTTCTGTATGTCCATACTAAAGTGAATGCGAAAGTAAAATACCGTTCCAAATATTTTTTGAAATGTTTGTATTTTTAGAGTTAAATTAAATATTATATTAGACATTTGAAATGGTGCTTTCCCATCGCATTTACTATGGTATAGACAACCAGAAACAGGCTCTAACGACCAGATTACACATGTGTAAAGTGACATTTCAAAACATACATTAAGAAATTCCCAACATTTTTAATCTTAAAAGTAACGCTATGATACATAAACTGTATAATATTAATACACTTGAATTTTATTTATTTTGTAGCATATTTATGGTAATTTTTTACATACTTTTACGCGTTTCTTTTTAAATGAAAACTTGTGGGGAGTATGCTTTAAAAATTATGCAGGTAATTGTGGAAAATTTCACTTTACATATGACTCCAACATCGCTTGTAATCTAGCCTTAAGCAATTATTAAAAAATAAAATAGTCATACTGTATTTCAACAAATATTTAATGTAAACTTAAAAAAAATAAATTTTCATAAATATAAACAAGTAGTTTTGCCTCTAATGAAGCATTTGTTCAAGTCTCTGTTTTACAATAAAAACTTAAATGAGAAAATTAAAAAAGTACTATATTTAATGCGTTTCCTATTAAATTACTTATTGGCCATGATGTTACAAAAAGTCTTTTTTTAGGTTGGATAAGCTAGACTAGAATTTTATAAAAAGGAAAAAATAATAAAAAAAAAAATCAGCCACTAGCCGACCATACAATATATCCTTCAACAAAATATAAGTGATTTTTTTATTTATGTATGAATTTATGTTCTGAATTGTTCAAATTCGGCCAGATCATGGAAATAGAAACCATTTGTCTACTTTTATTACATATAAACTTTAAATTTTTTCAAATCAATTCAATGTAAGCTGGGACTAAGACATTTTTTGATAAGTTTCCTAGGATTTGAAAGATTGCTGTATTGTTTTGCATGCTAAAAAAATGACAGTAGAATCGGCGAATTTATTTCTCAAGACAATTGACTGACCTTATTTTGTTAGATTTGTCTAAATGTTCAAATGTATTTGTGAAGGATACTTGAATAAATATAAGATTTTTAAAATACATACAAATATATGAATAGCTTGATATCTTGTTGGTTAAAAACAAAAATCTTTTATACAATTACTTGTGAAACTTATAAACATATTTCGAGTCTTCAATAGTAACTATTTAATAAATCTCCATAAAAGTAGGTGGGTGGGTAATTTGTTTAATCTTCTCCTAAAATTAACTACAATTTAAGCATAAGGCCTTTGTTTAAATATTGCAAATAATGTTCTCCTTTCACATACCTAAGTTTCAGATGAATTTGATTGAATAACGACATTTATAATTTAAATTTTCCAACTGCATTGATATGCTTTACCATCTACCAACACTAGTTTAAGCTTAATAAATGTTTTCTTGTTGCTGCAACAAAAAATCTGTCTCCATCGCCAATTCGGATAGAAGGATGATCAATCGACACCTATAACGTTTTAAAGACTGTGCAATTTTTAATTTAAATTCATCGAATAACATCTGAAAATTGCAAATATAATCATTATTTTAAACCTACATATAGAGTGTTAATTAAATGTTTTTATAAAATGGAAAAATTAACTAAACTTAATTATTATAGCAAAGCAGGCAAGAAAAATTTGAATACCACTGTTTTATCAAATCATAAGTTCAAACTTATCCTGTTTCGTAGAAGGTGTTGAACAGCAATGCACCATCATTGGTTCTCCGTCCGTCGCAGCTAGCGCCATTGAAGTCTGCTGTTGTGACAAGCCTGGACCATCTTGTGATTCTGAGGAATTTGTGACATTTCATTAAAACCACTGTCGGTGCGATAAAATGTCAATGATTTTTGGGTGAACTATTTATAGGTGTGTGATGTACCACACCACCAAAGGATGAGGAACTTGTTGGTTGCAATGCTGCAGGATTTAGGTTCTTCTTTTTTAAATCTTGGCAAATACGATTTAATTTCTGCTCATCTCTTTTAGGGTCCTCATTTTCGTCTCCTTCGTCGTTTAACCAATTCGCCGAAAAAGATTGTGACAAATTTTTACGACTTGCCGAACGTCTTTTACCTCTCGGTGTATCCGATTGTGAAGAACTACATGTAGAACTATGGGCCGAAACCTGAGATATTTGCATATCTTCCACATCAATGCCAGTATATTCAAGTAACTCCTCGCACGTTTCCTCATGACTCATAAAAACATCCACCTCCTGCAGGATGTTACTCGAATTTTTAGAGCCCGTCACTCTAGTCAGTCTTTCTTTATTCGATTTGTTTGAACACTTCGATGAATTGACTCTTAAACGACTAACTTTTATATTAAAACTATCCGACGAAAACTCTCCAATGTTATTCGTTATCATTGAGGCAAGGGCGAAGATGATCTTTCTGGAGTGAACTTTCCATTGTCTGTATCTTGACTGGTATTGTTTGTAATGTCATTGCTTTGATTTCCCATATTCTGTGAACGATACAACTTCTCAATGGGTTTCCTTCTGACCGGTGGATGTATGGGTGATAACTGTTCTAGCTCCTCAATTTCTGAACGGAAGTTATTGAAACGTGATTTACGTTTTGTGGCACTACCCTTATCTGGCAGCGAAGGTGATAGATCATCTGAGGCCGATATGGGTGAGAGTGAGCCAAAGGAGCTCTTGTCCAGAGAATCGGATAATTTCCCCACTATAGCAGTATGTTGCAGAGATTGCAAAGAGTGGGGACTAGAATTTGATTGGCCACCACTGCTTGCTGCCGCCGAAGATGTGTTATTTTTTGCCATCAATTGTTGTTCATTTTCCCATATTAGAACATTGTGAATATCGAATAGCTTACGCCTCAATGAGGTGTCCTTGGCGTCTATGCTGGAACTTAATGAACGTTGGGCATAACGGGACTTTTTCAGTTCTATATTTGCTCCTGCCAAATGGGGTTGGAAATATGGCTTTAAGACCTCTTCCAGAGCTGGTGGCAATATGGGCGGCAATGTCAATTCAGTTTGTGATGCACAATCACGTATTCTACGGCCTGGTTTGGATATGGGTGTATTGCCACTAACGTCATGCAACACAATACGTTGGCTACGCAATGGACAATCTACCGGACTTGGCACAATTTGATTATCTTTAAAATAGGAACTAATTGCCATTTGGGCTTTGGCCTCCAACTCAGGATCAGGTGAATCGTTGAACTGAGTCTCATGGGGCTCCACATTTGCTGGCATTAAACTTGACACCTCTTCTATTGTCCATTCACACTGTGTAGAACTCATTTGCGGGGTGTCTGGGCGTTGAAATAACGATGGACTACAAACAAATGAAGAAATGAACGCCGCATAAACCAATTCTCTTTAAAATTGTGAAAAAAAAAACACAATTCTACTTACCTTGCTATCAATGGCATATGTAGCCTTTCGGCCCACGCCGCTTCAAAGGGATTTTTTATTTTTTGGTGTCTCTTTGCTGGCGGCGTCTGTATTACAGCCATTGATATGGAATGCAAACCATTGCTGCTATTTGACGACATCATGGTGTTGCAATTGCCCAGCGAATAGCTTAACCCTTGCGGTGTCCTCGGATTTATTGACTTCCTAAATTGTTTATTTTTGGGCGTCACTTTGTTGCACTCATCGGACGCCGCCGGTGGATAGTGCATCATAAATCGATGACCTTTAAGTTTTTGTGGCGTCTCATGATCATTGCCTTCCATCCTCGTCTTTAAGTGTCTGCACCTTCTTCCTTCGTTGGGATGTGATTTATTTTTAGCTTCAAGGGAGCAGATGTTCGATTGCTAACTGGCAGGATGTTAGAAATCTCGTCGACGACGGTTGTTTTGGGCCAACAAACAATTTGCGCCCTTTCAATTTCAAATTTTGTTGTTTATTCAAAGGTTTTGGGACAAAATAGAAAAATTTCCCTTCTTTTGTGACAAAAAGTGTTGCCAGAGGGTTGGGTATTTTTTCGTCAGCACTTCCAAATTCAATGAAAGCCTATGCCGTTTGGCGATGAATGCGTATGGTGTATTTATTAGCAAATACTTTTAGGTGACTTTTTTTTGCCAAATTTGTCAAGCAAAATGTTTTCTAAAGTAGTAAAATAATTTTTTGGCTGTCTTTTATAAAAAAAGTTATAAAGATGAAAAAAAAAGATTTTATAATTTCTGGGAAAGAACATCAAATTCTCAGTAACAAAATGCGAGCGATTAGTGGAAATTGAGTTATGCACCGTAGGGCACATGGTAGAAGAATATAGGTAGATGCATGGTAGAACTAAGAAGGTAAAGTCAAATTTATACATTTGACAACATCTCATTGTCAAAATCTATGTTCATAAATCCATTGCATACACACAAAATCAGAGATGGGAACGGTTTTTTATGCATTGAAAGTTGACAAGGTAAATTACAAAAAACGCTGAGCTGGGAATGCTAATTTGAAATGAAGTTACCTTTAATTCATTGTACCATGGGTGGATGCATCAACGCTTGGGAACATTCAAATATCAAAATTTCCAAATCTGAATCGATTTTCACTAAATTTGACGGAAACATTTAAACCTTTATATCAAACAACATTTGGTCTGTTCCAGAACGGCAAGAATAACCAATTTTCTCTTAAGAATATTTATACTTTACTTTATACTTTGCAAAACTAGTAGATCCTCGCAGGTTCTGGAACAGACCAATTGCTATAGAGTGCATGCTATCACTTCGGGAAGGACTATATTATAAAATATGTATCGGAGCCGAATCGCACAAAATGGAAACGTGCGTTCCGTAATTCAGTCTATTATGCTGATATTAGCGACTAAACCTAAAATCGGATTAAGGATATATATGGGGGCTAAATCTTAACCGATCTCGATAAAATTTGGCAAAGGTATTTCCGAGCTCAATAATAGTACGTTTATATATATGAGGGTTAACCCACTAGATTTGGATTTAAACTGACATATCCATTACTTTTACTTCAAATAAATCCTCTCAAAGTAGGTTAACCCTACAAAAAGTTCTAACGTAAACATGGCATAAGATATTTTTTACTAAATATCATTGTTGTCGAATGCATATAACGAATGTGAGGGACTTAAACACCAAATCGAATGAACATATTTATGGGAGCTATAGCTATATCTGAACTGATTTTCACCAAATTAAATGTACTTGCCTCTAGACTGAAGTCGGACGGATATGCCAAAATTTAGGTCATTTGGACTTATATTGGACAATTGTGCACAATTAACCCGAAATCGGTTGAAGATATATATGGGAGCTATATCTACATTTGCACTGATTTTCACAAATTTTAATAGGGTTCGTCCTTGGCCCAAAAAAATATTGTTTGGAAATTTTCGAATATTAAATGCGACCTGCATTTTGTTTACAAAGATACATAAACATGCATAAATCGACTCAGAAAGTGATTATATAAAGATCATCCATGTTACAAACAAATGCACAAAAAAGTAATACCCCTACAAGAATGTAGCGTAGGGTATAAAAACATCGCGAAAAACGAATGGAAAGTCTTAGAATTTTCACATCATAGTGTTACGACTTCCTTTGATTCAAACTAAAGGGTGGAAACACATAAAGGGCATATTTGGCTGGCTTAAGTCATCGGCTGGCTTCTTCGTAGATGAACAAAGGAGTTTTAGGTTGACTTAATTCATTTTCTAGGCTCCTTCGTTCATTCCCGAAGAAGCCAGCCGATGACTTACGCCAGCCAGATAAGCGCTTTATGTATCCTTACCTTAAAAGTGTAGTATTCCAGAGTTATTCACTGAAAAGTACACCACCAAGAAAGTACGGAAAGAAAAACATTAGTAAATTTCAAAGCTCACAGTTTATCTTTCAAAATCATCGAATCTTCGAATTATGTATGTCCACTGCATTTTCAATTATATACCCGAGATATTTAAAATGTTATTTTGAGTTGCTCGATTATAAGGGAATTTTAACGCAGTAAATTGGCATGTTGCCCGCCACTTTATTTTTCTCGATTAACGATACCCAATATCGTTCACATATTACCGAAATCGAAATAGTACCTTCGCCAAAGAAAACAAAGTGTTTTTGCGTATATGTGTTTGTGTGTGCGTGTATGTGTAACAAAGTTCTACTCTGCAAACGAATTAAGCAAAGCCGAGCAATTCGCAAAATAAGGTTTCTTTGCTAGTTTTAAACAGAAAAAAATCAACTGAATGCTAAATAAATAAATTAAACAACGATTAAAATATTCTCAAGGTTTCAGCGGAAGCATTGTTGCGGAAAAGCACAAGGATATTCCTGCCGGCGACAACGACGACAAGTTTTCTCAGTAGCAGTCAGCAGCAGCAGTTGTAGTAATAGCAGCAACAACAATAACAGCAACATCAAGAGCAACACACAAATCACAGCAGAAAAAAAGAACAGCGGAAAGAGAAAGAAATATCCGTGGTAAACAGCTGCAAAATTCAGCGTAAGGCGAGAAAAAGTGAAAAATTGGCCCGTAATAAGACTGTAAGTGGTAGTGGTGGTGGTTACAACGATAAAGGAGACGGCAAGTTATCTACTACCGGCATTTATGACAAATGTGATAGTGGTAGCAGCAGCAACAGCGGCGGCAAGTCCTTTCGGAAATCAGTTGGCGGTGGGTGGTGGCGGAGGAGGTGCAGAGAATTGTTGCCCAGCAAAGGTAACCAAATTGGAAATTTTACCGATCGAGCAGGAAGAAGAGGAACCATTTGGTGGACCTTTGACCAGGGCACGTAGTGGTAGTTGTGGCCAGAAACGTAACACAAGGGGTGACTTGAATGAGAGTGAAGAGACCACACCTTTGCTTTTGTTGCTGACACAAAGGCTTAAGGGTGCTGACGCTAGTGGCGGTGGAAATTTCAGCGAACTTCTTAAAGCTGGCTCCTTTTCGGGTGATATTTTGTTGGCATCCACATCTACGACAGCAGCAGCTGCAACAAGCAATCGTTCGAATATGTCCGAAAATGGCTGTAAACATTTTCAGGCTTATGTTAAGGAAAATTCTTTGGACACGTATCGTATTATAGATGCGTACTTTTCGGCCTGCATTAACAGGGATGCACGTGAGAAGAAGGTATGTCTGGCTGTTGTACTTTGCAAGAATTTAAATTTTATGCATTCTGAGCTTTTTTTTGTATTTGTAGGCTTTAACTTGTTGCTGTTTCGAATGCGGTAGCTATGGTATTCAGTTATTCGCCTGCTTGCATTGCATCTATTTTGGCTGTCGTGGTTCCCACATCACCACCCACTTGCGTGCCAAAAACATTCCATAGCTCTGGAACTGTCTCATGGCACACTGTATTGTAATTCATGTCGAGATTACATTTACGATGGACGCTCAAGGGAACTTGCTGCCGTCAATCGTAAATTAGAGGCTAAAGATTTACAAAAGAGTCTAGCCTGGACCCCTTGGATTCCCTCGCCGAAGGAGACAAATTTAATGCTGGCCAATCCAAGGCGTCGCAATGTCAGGGCTAATGAAACCCTGGGTCTAAGAGGTCTCATTAATTTAGGTTCCACCTGTTTTATGAATTGTATTGTACAGGTAATGAACATTTGTATTCAAAAACTAAGAAATTTTCTTGTTTTACAGTTGGAATGATAAGAAGAGTACTATGATAACTTTTAATTATCAGGTATTCAAATTGGGTTGGATAGTTTATGGTTCCATCAGGGCTCACTTTGCAGAAAAAAATTATATTCGAGACACGAAATGTTTCTATTTATTTTATTTTTTAATGTATTTCCAGGCTTTAATACACACCCCACTTTTATGTGATTACTTTCTATCGGATCGCCATGAATGTAGTGCAAAATCATCAATGAAATGTTTAGTTTGTGAAGTTTCTCGTTTATTCCAGGTAATTCTTAAACTCTGCTTTCCATTGACTAACATAATAACACTTTATCTTCACTTTATAGGAATTCTATTCAGGTTCCCGCACTCCCCTCTCCCTACATCGTTTATTGCATTTAATATGGAATCATGCCAAACATTTGGCCGGCTATGAACAACAAGATGCCCCATGAATTTTTCATTGCCACTTTGGATGTTTTACATCGTCATTGTATTAAAGCCAAAGCTGAAACAGAAAGTGCCAATAAATCGAGTTCTTCACAGACAACAACCCACTCGAATTGCCCGACTCAATGTAATTGTATTATAGATCAAATTTTTACCGGTATGCTACAAAGTGACGTTGTATGTCAGTCGTGTAAAGGTGTATCAACTACCATAGATCCATTCTGGGATATATCACTGGATTTGGGGGAAGCACATGGTGGTGCCACACCCAAGTCGCTGATTGATTGTTTGGAACGTTACACACGTGCCGAACATTTGGGTTCGTCGGCAAAAATTAAATGTTCTACATGTAAATCGTATCAGGAATCAACAAAACAATTTAGCCTGCGTACATTACCTAGTGTGGCTAGTTTCCATTTGAAACGCTTCGAACATTCATCGTTAATAGATAAGAAAATTTCGACGTTTATATCGTTTCCGGTGGAGTTCGATATGACACCGTTTATGTCGGAGAAAAACAATGCCTATGGTGATTTTCGTTATTCCCTATATGCTGTGGTAATCATGTGGGCACAATTGATGCCGGTCATTATACGGCCTATGTGCGACACCACAAGGATACCTGGGTGAAATGTGATGATCATATTATAACGACGGCAACACTGAAACAAGTTTTGGATAGTGAAGGGTGAGTATGGGCATGAATACTATAGATAGTTAATATTGCTACAAATTTCCTTTAAAAGTATGTATACAGGGTGAGATAAAAAAAGCTGCAACAAAGTCAAACGCCATAGTTTATACATTTTTTTAAAGTTGGAAATAGCATCAAATTTTAGAATAAGTTTAGATTTGTTCGAATTGGTCACCTTTGGCACGAATTATGGCCTTCAAACGGCCAATGAAATCGTCACACGCTGCCCGAATGATTTGGCCCGTACCCGGCGAAGCGCTTGCTTGAGGTGATCGACACTTTGGTATTTTTTAGTGCTAACCTTGCTTTCCAAATACTCTAGACACAATAGTCGAGGAACCTAATTTTGTAACCATTCTTGGGTGGCGCGTTCTGAGTGCGATTGTGCTGAGTCCTGTTGTTACGTCCAAGGTCTGCGGCCAAAATGTTTGCGTGTCTAAGGCTTTAATACACCGTCCAGAATATTTTCGCAATAATATTCGGCATTTATTCTGATACCACGACCATCGGCTGTTAATACCACGACCATCGGCGATCCACACCATCACCATGGCCGGCGCTTGAGTTCTAGTGGCCAACCGAAGGTGCACATTTTCAGCTGCAATCTTTGGCAAGTAAACACGATCATTTTGTTTGTTTACAAACTGTTGGACAACAAATGTTTTCTAATCGGAGAAACCCAAATCGGCAGTTCCTCACTTTCGGCCAAGCGAACATCTCTTTAGCTCTTTTTTGAGTCTATTTTATCTCTGCTGCGGTGTAAGTTCTTGCACTTTTTGGAATTTCAATGGCTTTACCCTGAGCCCATTTTTCAATATTTGTCGAAGGAATATTGCGATATGTTCAGCTCACGAGCAATTTTTTGGTCACGATGTGGGTTTCGATCAAGTCGCTTCTTTACTTTTCGAACTAATTCTGCTGATGTTGCTGCTTTCTTCCGTCCACTTCCGACGCTGCCAGTATCACGGTAACGAGCGATGGTACGAGACACAAAAGATTTATTCACATTTAATTGCTGGAGTGCTCTAACGATAGCCACTTGTGGTTTTCCATCCAAATATAAAGAAATCACACTACCACGCTTGAATTCCATCACGAATAACTTTTTTTCTGAAAAATTCTCACCAAAATGCTTTTGTACGCTTGTAAACAATATAATGAGCTGTCACTGGAATAATTTTAACAGCTGTCGGACGAGTGGCTTCTGAATTTGGTTGCAGTTTTTTCATCTCACCCTGTACAATAATACCGACATGCTTCTTATATTTTGGAATTTGTGGGCTCTTGAATGTAGAACAAATTTACAAAAAATTGGTTTCATCCATGTTTTGAGCATGTCGTAATGATTCGCTTAAAAAATGTTTTAAATTATATAATAGAGAATCAAGGCCGCAATATTATCAATACGGAGCTACGAATTAATACAAATTTCCTATGAAGGTACATGTGGATTCGGGATATTGATTTTGTGTCATTTGGTCTCAGACTATTTAGGCTTCCAAATCTTGCTTGCCATAATAGTTGAATAAAACTTTTGTATTGAGATTTTCATCTTTTTTTGTAATCGAGTTTAATAAAATTTTGAATACATCATATTTTAAACTAATGGTAAACAATATTTTCATTTTCTTCTATTTCTTTTCAGATATTTATTATTCTATCATAAAAATATATTGGAGTACGAATAAGTTAGACTGGAATAAACACAAACTGAATAATAAATAAACACAACTTTTTAAACTACTTAAAATTAAACAAACAAAAGAAAGAAAGAAACCAACAAACAAAAAACAGAGATCCTAGAACCAACCTTCAAATGCAAGAACAACAAACAAACAAAATGTATCTAATAATTATGCAAAAAAGAAAAAACCAAACAAAAATATAAATGTTATGAATTTTTATTTCTTCAACAACAAACAAAATGAAAATTATGGTAAAAAAGTCTAAACCCTAAAATTATAATTCATAAAAAACATCAAAAAAAATCATGTTTTCACTCAAACACACAATTAAAAAATCAATTATAAATTTCTCACAGACACACACCCATTACTCGCTTCTGTTGTGTATTTTTATATATTTTTTTTTCATTTGTTTTGATTTTATTTTTCGCCGCGTAATTTAATAACGCTCTCTTTATTTGTTTATGAACGAAAAAATCTCCAAAAAAAACTTTCCTTCAACTTGGGCTCGTCCGGGATTTGAACCCGGGACCTCTCACACCCGAAGCGAGAATCATACCCCTAGACCAACGAGCCACGCATATATAAGGCGCTAATTGGTATTAAGTGTAAGGCGGCATGGCAGTGGTGAAATTGCGTTTAGAAAAATACCGGTAAATGGTGACGACGGATAAAACAACGCAATTGTGGTGAGTTTGTATTTTGAGGAATGATGCAGTGTCGTAAAAGTGTTGCCTACCTTAAGGCGAATTAAAAACACACATGTTTTTGTTGAACGTAAAATTATTAGGTAGTGCTTGTAAAATTGTAATAAAAGCATATTATGGCCTGTTCTTATATCTTTTCTTTATAGTCCACTCTTGTTATCCCTTACTTTTGGAAAAGTAAAATATATCAAGGAATAGCAATGTATACACAACTTCATTTTTGGAAAAACGCAACGTTGTAGTCAAATTTAATTTCAAACCAAACAACAATTGGTTCTGGTCATTTTATGACAAAATCGAAAATAAGAGGTAAAATTTTGGAATTTATTTCGCAAAAATACAACCATGGTTGAAATAACAAGTAAAGAACTATTCCGAACATTGAATACCCTCCATTCGGAATGAATTTGGCAATTTTCAAAAAAATAAAATCCGTTAAAAATTCTGTTAAAATCTTAAAAATACCAAATTTTATACGACGACGTGGACCTGCATAGGTCATAAGCCATTGCAATATTCAAAGGCGAAACTTAAAAAAGGTGAATAATATACCTAAAATCATCAAATTACCGAATATAGGGAGGTATATTATATGGGGGCTATACCAAAACGTGGACCTGCACAGATAATTTTCTGTCTTAGGCTGTAGTATCCATTACGAACTTCAAATACAAAATTTGTAATAATTCCGGCGAATAATATCGCTAAAATCGTCAAAATACCGAATATCGGGGGGTACCGTTATATGGGGCTATACGAAGACGTGGACCTGCACCGAAAATTTTCTGTCATAGACTGTAATATCCATTACGAACTTCAAATACCAAATTTGAAACAATTCCGGCGGATAATGTAGCTAAAATCAACAAAATACCACATATCGGGAGGTACCGTTCGGAAGCTATAGTGATTTCCACAGACGAATTGACATCGCTAGATAAACATAGAATTTTATGCTGATCAATAAAATATATACTTCATTAAAAAAGGTCACCATCTCTGTTTTTTATCAACGCTTTTTCTTCTATAACCGTTTCATCCTTTGCAGAATTAGTATAGTATAAATACACTATTGCACTGTCACAAATGCTTTTAAGCGCTTAAAGTCGACCACTACATCGAAAACAATAATCGACTTACACATCCCCTAATTTACAAAAAAAAGTGCCGTTATTTGAAAGGAGAAAAGAATCGAAGGAAAAATAAAATTCGAGTTTTGGAAATAAATTCTTTTTTAATACATCCATTTCAGCTACAAATAAAATGCGGAAATCTTGTAAAATGAATAAATCTGTAAATTCTCGTATGGATTATGCTCGCGAAAATAATCAATTTGCAGCATTTTCTCCAAAGGATGAGAACAACAATGACATACAGGTCTATGGTCCACCTGCTAGAGAACGCAATGTCAGTTCACAGCCTGCAATTATGGCTGAACTGGAAGAAAGACCAATAGCTTCGGATGGATGTATTTGCAATAGAAAATCACAAATTATCGAATGTAAAAAATGTCGAATGCTTTGCTACGGACGAGTATCGGAAACATGTCCTCGGCATCCCAATGTATGTACATTGTTTATTTTCTATTGGATATTATACGTATTTAAAAAGTTTTCCTATTTTTTAGGTTTCGTATTTGATGGACTTGTATAATTGCCCATCTTGCTATTGTTCTCGTGTATTTTTAACAGCAAAAAAATAATTTAATTTCATATCTTTACGATTTTTGGATTTCATGACGTAGAACGTCTCATTTTTCATCATCAATATTTGGATATCATATTCTAGTGTGTCATTTGACATCTATATTAAAATATAGATCGCATAATATTTCTCATATATAGTAATATTTAAAAATTCATAGTACTTCTATTGTTGGTATTTAGAAACATTTAATGAATTTCTCAGTTATTCAGATCTGAATAAAATATAATTGTTATAAGAATCACTGTTTTATTGTACTACTAAATTGAAAAATTGGAAAATTACTTGAAATTTGTTGCTTGGAATTTTGTTTCTATGTTAAATTGTTTCAATTGTAATACTATTAAATGAGACAATTTTTCCAGAAATTTATCAGATATGTGATTGAAATCGATTACAGAATCGAAATACGTTTTGTGTTCCTTGCATATTTGTTGAAAAATTACTCTTAAGGATTTATATTTCCAAAACTTAATGACATGTTTCATTAAAGGATAAGTCAATTTTGACACATATGGCCTGTTCCAGAACTGTATGTTCTTACTATGATAACCGATTTTCCCTCTATAATATCGGAGAGAATTGCAAAAATTAGTAGATTCTTTCAGGTTCTGGAACAGACCAATAATAAACCAATGTATGCCAAAATGAGTCGACGCTTCTTTAAAATTCGGATACACACAAAATGTGTTATTTGACAACTTAGAAAAAATAAGCACCCTCAGGAACTTAACATAAGCTGACTTTGGACCGTAACTTTTTATGATATTCGAAACAAACTTTAGTGGGAACCACATTATAGACTGGATTTAAATCTTGTATCTCTCCTAATCTCAAATGGGAAACAGAGTTCCTGCTGTAGACTATGTGAAAATTCTGAAATTTGAAGAGATTTGGATGAGAGTTTTTGGAAATTCGTTTAAAGTTATGACAAGTTCTAAAATGGTACAAAACTTCAAAAATGGTACCATTTAGTGCAATGTGAACGTATAAAGCTAAAACTTAAAATTTGATATGAGAGTCAAGTAAGTTTGATACATGAAGGTGTTTTTTGAAAATGTGTACTAAGTGTGCGAACTGTACTAAATAGTACTGCATTTTGAAAAGTTTGGTTTAGGGTAAACGAATGAAGCTGGAATTTTGACATTTTGTGTAGAGGCGGTTTTGGAAATGTGTTCTATAATTGTACTTAATTTGGTAATGGGGGAAATTACACAGCTGAAATTTGATATTGACGTCACTTTTGCTATCTGAGGTTTAGATATGGAGGTTGCTTTGAAAATACGTACTTTAACTGTACGAAAAGAACTAAATGCTACTAAATTACTTACTACTTACTTACTTATTACTATTACTTACTTATTATTATTATTATTACTTATTACTAAAAAAAAAAAAAAAAACTACCACTAAAAAATTTGGGTATTGGGAGAGGGGATAGAGCTGAAATCCTGAAATTTGGTGTCTGTAGTTGAGAGAAGGATGTGGTTTTGGAAATGCGTACTATGAACGACAAGTGGAAAAGGTTACAAAATGTGATGGCGATATGATGGTGATGGGATAGAGATTGTATTCTGAAATTTGGTATCTAGATCACCATTGGTATGTAGCGTTGAGAGAAGGAGGTGGTTTTGAACTTGCGTAGTATAACTGTACGATAAGTATGGAAAAAAATTGAGATTGGGATAACGCAGGAATTCTGAATTTTGATATGGATGTCACTGTTGGTATATAGTTTTTATACCCTACACCACATAGTGGTTAGGGCGTTATGTATTTGTGTATTTGTTTGTAACATGGAGAAGGAAGCGACATAGACCCATAGTGAATTTTGAGGATCTTCATAGAATTACTTTCTGAGTCGATTTATACATTTCAGTCCGTCCGTCCATGTGAACAAAATGCAGGACGCATTTATTATCCGATTAAGATGTAATTTTGTAAACAATATTTGTTTGGCCCAAGGACGAACCCATATATCTTCAACCGATTTTTTACTTTTCCTTATTGTTTTTTTTTTTTGTTTATTATACGGCAGTTTTAAATTAAAAACTTAAATGTCTTCTCAACCTTCTCCATGTCGTAACGTTTTACATTGCCATTTGGTCTGCCATCAATCAATCATGTCGCCTCTTGATTACATATTCTAATAAAATGTTGGTCAAGTTGTGATGAAGTCAATGTAAATTAGGTTTTCCAAACTCTGGGTGCACAAGAACTTGAACAGAAAGTAAAGGTCTACAAGATTTACGAGAATACCTTTGAATGGGGTTTTTAATTACACGTTTCAGCCACAGACAATAGCTGGGCGCTGAAGGTCTATTAAATTATAAATTGGGATAAGTGAAAGTCTGTTATTGTGTCTTTCGGTCTTCAATTCAAATGCCATTAAAATGAAAACGAAATATTTGGAGGTAAAGAAGAAGAATGAGATGCCGTATCGCGTGTGGATGTGAATGTGAATAAAATACACAAGAGCAAGTCATTAAAATAAATAAAATAGTATCATTTCATTCCAGGGAGTTCTAACTACTTTAAAGCTACTCCCGAATGACAGAATGGAAAAGAAGAAGAAGAGGAAGAAGTTACGCACACTCTCGGAGATGAAGATGACAAAAAAGAATGTTGAGACGCAGGCAATGTGGAGCGGGAATATTGCCTCATATTAGCTGGAAAAGTTGTATAAAATGGAATGCAATGTCGGTTGCAATAAACAGTCAAGCGATTACAATGAAGACAAGAACGACAACAACCAGTTTATGGCTAGTATGTGGATTGATGCTGGGTATGTATATGAAAGCCTCTTTAAGGAAAAAGACAATTTATTTTTTTATCATATCAGTGTTGGGTCTATTGGCCCAAGATATCCAGGGAGCAGCTGTAAAGTCCCAGCAAGCAAAGCCCAAAAATTCCACCACATCACATAAGGATGGCCATTCATCCACCTCGAAGACAAAACACTCTAGTGGATCTAAGACAAAATCCGCTTCCACTACCACTACAACCACAAGCACCACCACCACTACGACCACCGTAAAACCCTAACAACAGGATCCGACAACAAACAAACCTGCCACGACCATGGATATCGATGGACGTCATTCCTATATTAACAATGAATTCGTTGCAGATCCTGAGCCCATACAAGATGTCAGCCAGCCGCTGTATGAAATTTTACAAACGCAAATGGAAAAAGTACTCTCGAATAATGGCTTTACCAATGGCCTGTATTCCGATAGTCCTCAAAGCAAGGAAATCCAAGACGATAATCAAAATATGCCAGGCAAGCCCATGTTTTCCTATAACGTAAGCCATTTCAATGACTACGAAGAGGATGTGGAAAATGAAAATGAAGAAGATACAGTGGATCCGGAAGAGCAACAACCTGAGAATTGTGAAGACACGGATGAAAGTCTTAATGATAGAGATGACACAGTGGTACAATATCCAAACACACAGAATTCCTATAAACCTTCATCATCTAGCAATAAGCCCCATAAACCATCATATGATCCATCCAATTATCCCTCCACATCATCGATGCCATCATCATCCTCCGGATATCCACAAACCAACAAACCATCATCTTCAAATAATTATCCAAGGCCACCACAGCCGTCATATGGCCAAAATTCCAATCAACAGCAACAAATACACAAGCCAGAAAAACCTTTGAAACCCTCCCAGCACAAACCGAAACCCCCAAAGGTGTCCAGTTCATCGTCTAAACCCAAACCTACTCCGCTTGCCGAAGAATCTCCCACACCATTTTCCACTTCGTCCAGTAACACCAAGCCCAAACGTCATGTAAGTTTCCGCACAGTATCATCCTCAACGCAATATGTCTCCACACCATTGGCTGATCTAATGTTGAAATTTTCCATTGGCATGGCCAAACCAGCTAAGAGCCTCGGGGATTCAAATCAGGATAATCAGATTTACGATAAAAATGATATTGACATGAGAGGTTATTAAGGAAAAAGGAAGAGAAGGGAAAATTGAAAAGTAAAATAAATGTGACTTACCATTGTGAATATGCAAATGTTTTATTTTGTTGGATTTATTTAAAGAAAAAGGTATTTTCCATATCCTCCACCTTGAAAAGGAGGGTATGTTACCTTTGTCATTCCGTTTGTAGGGATGTTACAAACGGAATGACAAAGGTAACATACCCTCCTTTTCATAATCAGCATAAAATTCTAAGTATTGTACTGTGGGCTAGGACTACTAGGACGGTATGTATTGAAAATGAGATATATATGTCCACGTTTTGATATAGCCGCCATATAATGGTACCTCCCGATATTCGGCATTTATATGATTTTCGCTACATTTTTTCACGGATTTGTCTAAAAATTAGCATTTGTAGGTTCTAACTCCAGTGGCGAAAGATTGTATGTATAGGTCCACGTTCTTGTATAGGCCCCATAAAACGGTACCTCCCGATATTCGGTATTTTGATGATTTTTGAAAGTCCTTGGAGTATAAAGCTGTGTTCTAAAATTTGATGCTTTTTCCGACATTTTTGCTTTCATTCAATAAATTTAAAAAAAAAATGTAAAAATTATGGCGTCTGATTTTGTTGCAGTTTTTTTTATCTCACCCTGTATTTTATGTTGAAAATTTATTTCACGAAATTAATCACAAATCCATTTTGTTTATCTTTTTTTTAACTAAAATGAATGAATGAGTGGAAAAATGCAGTGACTACCATTTAAAAAACGTAATCGTGTTTTTGCCTTACCTCTGAAAAATGCATTTATTTTAAAGGAAAGATGTAGTAATGAAAACCAAACCAAAATTGTACTCGTACTGAGAAAATGTACTCTCTTTGGAAGAAATATTGCAAACAGTTATCGAACAATATTCCGTAAAATCTATATGCCTCGATTGTCCTTGAAAAGAACGATATTGCTCAGGAAATTTTAATATATTTGACCTAAAGTGCTTGTAAAAAATATTCATAAAAATGTACAGGTTTCCAGGAAAAGCTTGAAAACGTACTAAAAACACGATCTTTGACCGAAAGCCGTTGAGGAAATATTTAAAAAAGAAGTAATTCATTAAAAATTCGATAATTTTGGGATATAATTAGAAAATTTGATAACCAGACCTTTAGACAAAGTCTGAAAAAAAAAACAAGTAAAAAAACATTAAGCTCCGAACTTTTAATATCCTCCAACTTTGGGTAAAGGAAACATTTTTATATAAAATTTCTGTTAGTAAGACCGAGGAACCTCATTTTTAACCATTCTTGGGTGGTGCGTGCTGAGTGCGATGGTGCTGAGTCCTGTTGGAATATCCAAGGTCTGCGACCAAAATGTTTGCGTACCCAAGGTTTTAATACATCCTTCAGAATATTTTCGCGATAATATTCGGCATTTATTCTGTTGCCAAGGTAGATTAATACGAGCCATTGCCATGGCCGACGCTTGAGTTCTGGCGGCCAACCGTAGGTACACACTTTCATCTGACCTCTTTGGCAAGTAAACACGATCATTTTGTTTGTTTACAAACTGCTGGACAACGAATGTTTTATCAAATTCGACAGTTCACTACTTTCGGCTAAGCGAAACAACTCTTTAGCTCTTTTGAGTCTATTTGGAATTTCAATGGCTTTACTCCGAGCCCATTTTTAAATATTTGCCGAATGAAATATTGAGATATGTTCAACTCACGAATCATTTTTCGGCTACTGCGACGCGGAAGCAGAAAATTGCCTATGCAGGTCCAGGTCTTAATATAACCCCCATATAACCGTACCTTCCTTTTGGTATTTTGATTAAATCATAAACATATTTTTCCCGAACTTACCATTTTTTTACACCCTCCACCATACCTAGTCATTCCGTTTGTAACTCATTGTAATAATAATTTTAGACATAACAAAGTACATATATTCTTGATCAGTGAACAATTTAAAGGTGGTTTAGCCCTGTCCATTTGTTGCAATTACGCAAGAGTTAAAACGAATAAAGATAGGAAGCTAAACTTTTGCACAGATGGACTATATCGGTCCACGATATCGTATAGCCCCATACAACGGTACCCCCCGAAATTCATTATTTTGATGATTTTAGCCACATTTTCAATGAAATTGTCTGAAAATAAACACAAGGATTTCCTTTTGAGAACTTTACCTACTGGAAGAGAAATGTCTATATTGGTTCACATTATCGTTTAGTACCCAAATAACTGTATCTCCCGATTTTGGGTATTTTGATGATTTTAGCGACATTTATCAATGGGATTGTCTTAAATTCTAAACAAGGAGTTCTTCGTGACTATCTTACCATCTGGACGAGAATTGTCTATATAGGTCTACGATATCGTATAGCTCCCATACAACGGAAACCGCCTATATTTTTCAATAAAATTGTCGGAAAATACAAAAAAGGAGTTACTTTTGAGTACTTTACTACCTGGAAGAGTATTGTCTATATTGGTCAACATTATTGTATATCCCCCTTAGCTAAATTTTTTAATGGAATAGTCTAAAAATCACACTAGAAGTTCTTTCTAAGCACTTTACACCCTGAAAGAAAAATATCTATATAGGTTCACGATATCGTATAGCCCACATACAACAGTAAACCCGATACTCGATATTTTAACGATTTTAGGGACATTATTCACCGGAGTTGTTTCAAATTTCGTATTTAGAGTTCGTAATGGAAAGTACAGTCTATGGCAGAAAATTGTCTATGAAGGCCCATGTCTTCGTATAGGTCCCACATATCAGTACCTGCCTATATTCGGTATTTTGACGATTTTAGGCACTATATTCACCGTTTTTGTATTTGAAGTTCCTAATAGGTACTAAATCCTTTGACAGAAAATTGTCTATGCAGATCCAGGTCTTCGTATATCCACGACATAACGGTATTTTGATGATTTTAGCTACACGATTTACCGAATTTTTTTTCAAGTTTCGTACTTAAATATGTAATGGCTTATTATAAATACACCCTTAGGAGGATATAATTGTCGTTTATGTGATTCAAAAGGATATAAAATAAATCCGGTCGTAATAAGATATTTTTGTGTATGGTAAATCTGCTTGAATAAATCCAGATTAAGGAATAAATTCTGTTAATTTGGGTTAATCCGGAAAAAAATTTGAATATGAACGCGTTAAAAAATCCATCTAATTTAAGGTAATTGAAAGATTTTGTGCTTAATTTTAAAGACATATATGAACAAATATTCTTTTAATATTATATTTAATTAATAAATATTAATTATTTTACTTTATTCATATCACATTCACCATTTCTAGAAAATTACAAGATCATAACAATAGAATCCTTTTTAGGTTTAGGTATTTCCTCATAACGATCCTTGGATTCTTTTTGTTTTTCCTGAGCTTGCTCTTGATGGATTTCTTTAATGAGAACTTTTTGCTCGGTAACATTGTCCTGGATCAAAGGATTTATTGTTGTCACTTCCTGTTGTTTTTCTTCATCCAAGTCGACCAAAGGTTTACTCTCCATCATTTCTTTCTCCTTGAAATAGGGATTGGCACGGAATTTCAATTCAGCATATTTCACTTCTTCGGGATATTGAGTTTTACATTCTTCATACGAAAAATCAGACCAGTAACCATGGCTTCTACATTTGGCTACGTTCAGCTTACATTTGTTGTAAAACACAGCAACTTCAGAGGAAGTTTTACCACAAATTGGTTCATAGGGACCCGTGCAATCATCGTCACAAAGGAAGCCCTCAGCCAGGGAGTTGGAATTCGAATTAATGGCCATGCTATTGAGTTTCACGCAATCGGCATTGGCACAGGGAAACCAGGCAATGGGAACAGCCAAAAATGGAGGACTCATTTTGGTGGCATTTGCTCGACCAGCCAACGGAAGGAAGGTACGTTTGACATAATAGCCATGTTCCTCGGTGGCAACCATGGAGTTTGTGTCTGAGCTCCCAAATCCGTGGAGGATGACCATTTCGTTTTGGTCTTGGTTTTGGTGGGGAATGAATCGGAGTGGCTCTTGCGTTTCTTGTGTTTGCCAGCTTCGGCAAAGGAACTCACCAGGAGTAGGGAAACTAAAATGAAATAATTTGAATTTCACACATGGAAAATATTTATCCAGTTACTCCATACCTAATACTAAAGACAGCTGTATGATCCTCATTTTTTTGCTTTTGTTTCCTTTCTTTCTGCAAAATTTACTTTCAAACACAAGTTTCTACAACGACGTCTTTATTACAACTGATTCCATTTAAGACTTATTCTCTTGGTTTTCTTTCTTGAGCCAAGAACAAAATGAAAGTTTTTCACCCAAATGGTTTTGCTTGGGATCGTGTCATTGGGGTACGACTACTTGCTGGACAGGTTGTGTTCGTTCGTTCGTGTTTACAACGAACTTTCTTGTGGCAGCAGCAGCTGCGGCACCAACAAAAAGTTGTTGGCTTCGATTTAAAGTTTCTTTCTGTTAGTTCTTATTGATTTCTTTCTCCACCTTTAGTGACACCTTTGCCTCCCTCCCTCTTTCTTTCTACATCCCAGAACATGATGGGATTCACCCATTTATTATTATTTTGTATGGCTTTCTTTAAAAGTTGTTTTTTTTTGTGTTTTTCTTGAGTACTGCCCATTGTCGGTTGATTGGAACAAGTTTGATTTTATTCGCCTCTTCAAGTGATGGGTTCAAATCCCAATGTAGGTAATGAATTTTGAGGTGCTAATCAAACAAATAATGAGGTATTAATTTGTCTGTGGTTGTTGTGGAAAGTACCAACACACGTACATTTGTCAAAAGAAGAACGTGATGAGTAATTACTGTGGTTTTGTTCAAAATTTTCCGATCGTTTTGATTGAATGGAGACTTTATCTTTTGGAGGTTAAAACTTTGAGCTAAATGCGACTAGGGATCGAAGGGTTTTACTATTAATATGAAAATTCATAAAAACAGTAAGGAAAGGCTATATGATATCCTTCACTACTATGCATATTTAATAGAGATCCCATAACAAAAAATATATTTCGAGTTTATGTGAAGTAGATCATACCAACTATGAACCTTATCTGAATGCGTATCATGGCTTTGGAGTAGTCACAAGTTGGGTACTATATCCAAATCTGAACCGATTTTCAACAAATTTGATAGAGGCATTTTTACCTCTAGTACTAAATAACAAGTCATATCATGTTATTTGGTACTAGACGCACAAAAGAATCGATAAGAATTATATTAATCAAGTAAAAAAGCTGTAAGTTCGACCGGGCCGAATTTTGAATACCTTCCACAATTTGGAACAAATTTGACAATTTCAAAGAAAATAAAAATTCTGTTAAAAATTCTTAAAAATACCAAATGTAGCCGTTATATTATTGACTATACGACGACGTGGCCCTGCATCATCGAAATACCGAATTTAGGGAGGTACTATTAATGGGGCCTATACCAAAACGTGAACCTGCACAAACACTTTTCTGGCTTAGGCAGTAGCATTAATTACGAACTTCAAATACCAAATTTGAAACAATTCCGGAAAATAATGTCGCTAAAAATTATCAAATACCGAATATCGAGAGGTACCGCTATATGGGGGCTATACCATAGCCCATTTTGGCCCATTTTCAATACCAAACATCCTTCAGACATAATATATAGTTGAGTAAAATTTCCTGGGGACTAAATGAATATTTCGAGGTGTTACAAACGGAATGACAAACTCAATACACCCTCCATACTATGGTGGAGGGTATAAAAATATGTATCGGAGCCGAGTTCCACCAATGGAAACGTACGTCCCAACATTCGCTCCATTTGGGCTGATATTAACCATTATTTGCACAATTAACCCGAAATCGGTTGTAGATATATATGGGAGCTAAATCCAAATCTGAACAGATCTTGATAAAATTTGACAGAGGTATTTTTGAGCTCCATAAGTTATCTGGTATCAAATACCATCCTTGTGGAGTGCATATTACGTATGTGAGGGACTTAAAATTTGATGTTCTTGCTTCTAGCCTAAATTCGGTTGAATATGCCAAAATTCAGGTCATTTGGACTTATATTGGCCCGAAATCGGTTGAATATATATAGGGTGATATAAAATATGTCGGAAATAGCATCAAATTTTAGAATTAGTTTAGATTTGTTCGAATTGGTCACCTTTGGCATGAATTATGGCCTTCAAACGGCCAATGAACCGCCACACCCTGCCCGAATGTTCATCTACGGCATTTTGGCCCATTCCCAGCGAAGCGGTTGCTTGAGGTCATCTACGGTTTGGTATTTTTTAGTGTCAACCTTGCTTTCCAAAATACTCCAGACACAATAGTCCAACGGATTGGTATCCGGAGATTTTGGTGGCCATTGTGCGCTGGAAACGAAGCGAGGAACTACATTTTGTAACCATTCTGATACTACGGTCGATTAATACGAGCGGAGAGCGACCATCGGTTGCTATGGCGGCCCACACCATCACCATGGTCGGCGCTTGAGTTCTGGTGGCCAACCGAAGGTGAACATTTTCAGCTGACCTCTTTGGCAAGTAAAGACGATTGTTTTGTTTATTTACAAAGGGCTGGACAACGAATGTTTTTAAATTCAAATTCGGCAGTTTACACTTTCGGCCAAGCGAAGCATCTCTTTATCTCTTTTCTTTCTGTTGAGGTGTAAGTTCTTGCACTTTTTGGAATTTCAATGGCTTAACCAGAGCTCCTTTTTCAATATTTGCCGAATGAAATATTGTGATATGTTCGATCAAGTCGCTTCTTTTCTTTTCGAACCATTTCTCCTGATGTTGCTGTTTTCTTTCGTCCACTTCCTTGAAGTCGGGCTACACTACCAGTATCACGGTAACGAGCGATGGTACGAGACACGAAAGATTAATTCAAATTTAAATGCTGGAGTGCTCTAACGATAGCCACTTGTGGTTTTCCAGCCAAATATAAAGAAATCACACTATCACGCTTGAATTCCATCACGAATAACTTTTTTTCTGGAAAATTCTCACCAAAATGCTTTTGTACGCTTGTAAAGAATATAATGATCTGTCATTGGAATAATTTTAATAGCTGTCGGACGAGTGGCCTAGAAATGACAGCAGTCTGAAGTTGGTTGCATTTTTTTCATCTCACCCTGTATATGGAAGATATGTCCTAATCTGATTCGATCTCAATAAAATTTGACAGAGGTTTTTTTCCGTTTCATAAGTTATCGGTAGCCAAATATAATTTTTGTGGAGTACATATTACGCATGTGAGTCACATAAAACCCCAAATCGTATGGAACGTGTATATAGGACCTATAGCTATATCTGAAGCCATTTTTTGTACTTGCCTCTAGATTGAATTCGGTGGATGTGCCAAAATGCAGGTCATTTGGACTGATATGGGCTATTTGGTGCACAATCAATCCGATATAGGTTGAAGATATATATGGGAGCTATATCTAAGTTTAAACCGACTCTCACTTATTTCAATGGGGTTCGTCCTTGGGCCAAACAAATATGGTTTGGAAAATTTCATCTCAATCGGATAATAAATGCGACCTGCTTTTTGTTCACAAACATACATAGACGGACGGACGGACTGACATACATAAATCGACTCAGAAAGTGATTCTATAAATATCTTTAAAAGTAACTATGGGTCTATCTCCCTTCCATCGCCATGTAACAACCAAATGCACAAAGACATAGTACCCTGCCCACTATGTGGTGTAGGCTATAAAAATAATATAACTCGTTCTTTTGTTTAAATTTCTTTATTCATAAAATTCACCGTCTTCCAAATCATATTCAAAATCTTCCAATGGGTAAAGGCTGGAACGAGCAGCCGGTGCAGCAGCAGTACCTGGCAAACCACGAGGGCCAGGTGGTCCCGGTGGACCCCGGGGGCCCATAGCTCCTACGGCACCGGTAAAACCTCGTGGACCTCGTCTGCCTGTTTCACCAATGGGTCCGGTGGGACCAGGTCGACCATCATGACCACGTTCACCGGGACGGCCAACGGGTCCTATATCACCTGGATCACCAGTTGGACCTTTTTCACCTGGATCACCATCTGGACCGGGTAGACCATTGGCACCAGGTGGTCCTGGTGGACCCGGTGGACAATTGCAGCCACCTGCGCCGGCATACAGTTGAGCTCCGGCACCCACTTGTAAACCGAATCCTTGTTGCCACGAAGGTTTCATCAAACCAAAGAGAGCTGAAATAAAGGAATTCAAAGTTAGTTTAAAAATAGGGAAGATAAACGATGCTCTGAACAGACCTAAGCAAATCAATGTTAACGCTTTCATTTTTCCAACAACTCTACATGGAAGACATAAAGGGAGGTGCTATTTAAAGCGTTCTAGAAAAGCAATATTCTATGAAGACTCATTGATTGAGGAAAATCTCACAGAGTTTTCCATCGCCATTAAAATTTGTTCTTATTGCCTTGGACATTACAAAGCTGATCATTAAAATCAGGTCATAAATCATTGGTGGGTCGTTTAATGGATAACAAATTTACGATCATTGCTCTAGACCATAAAAAAAGGAGTTGGTGACAAACGCAGTAAGTGATTTATTACTCCTCAACTTTTAGAACATCAATGTTCAATGTGATTTATAGCTATCCAACTTCTAGAACATTCCCCAACCTCTTCTGGAATGAGTTCACCTTTCTTTCACTCTATAAAAGCAAATGTTCTCGGGAAAACTCCATCAGTTTCGATTCAAAAATGTTGCTTAAACTGGTGTTATTTTCTGGTAATTGTTTAGTTCTTTAAACTGAGCTGTTCATTTGTTTTACATTCCTCCTAAATTCTTCTTACAGTCCTCATCACCGCCCTTTATGCTGAGGAGGAACGCCAAGCACGCAGTGTTCTAAATCGCAATCGAAATAATCTCCATTATCATCAATCTGTTCCACAATGTATATGTACGCCAGGTCCGCGTGGAAGTCCTGGAGAGCCTGGCCGAACGGGTATAAAGGGACCACGTGGTGATCCTGGCCTGAAGGGACCTAAAGGACCCCCAGGTCCAGTAGGTACACCAGGCATACAAGGTTCACCTGGTCGTGATGGCGCTCCCGGTGCTCCAGGTTTACCTGGTCCTCGTGGACGACGTGGTTTTCCAGGTGGTAGAGGAATACCCGGACCCATGGGTCCACCTGGTCAACCAGGTCCACCTGGCCCTCAAGGTGATCCTGGTGTGGCGTCACCTGCGACAACAAGTACCACCACCACAACAACTACAACCACAGAAGCAGCGACGGGACCATAGCAAAAACGAATAGTCACAATAGTAAACCATTAACTCAAACGATAACAACAACAACAAACATCAAACCATTGGCTATAGCAGCGCCACTAAATTTAGTTTCATTACTGCCAATATTGCCGCCAGATCCACCCGCTACTGTCTTACAATCCACATCCAATTCGGAGTTAGTGACTTCGCAAATGAGCCCTCAAACTATCGTCGAGCTCCCAACATCCATAATCTCCTTGGAAATGAATAATGTACCATCTATTTTACATCCACTACCCAGTTCCCAAGGCATTGCTGTCTACCCACCGCCCGATATGACCCTGCACATCGATGATGAAGATCACATTACTATGGACTATTTTGAAATTATGGGATATAATAATTAGTGTAGAGACTTTTTGAGTTAACGATTTACTACTTGTGACTATGTAGAATATTTACTTTGAGCAGAGAACCATTTCTTTATAATAAAACAATAAATTTAAAATATATAACATAATTTTGTTTCATTTATAGTATAAATTACCAACGTGCTTCGCGTTGGCGGAACTTAAAAAATATTTAAATTTTTGTACCCAACAACGCTATGTGTTGGGGGTATTATAAGTTAAATTGGGCCAACAATTATGTAACACCTCGAAATATTGGTCCCCAACATAGGGAACTATATATGGATCTTCCTATCTCGTCGTGCTGAGTCGAGCTGGCTATGTATGTCCGTCCGTCCGTCTTCCCATGTTCATTCGTAATCACGCTACAGCTTAAAATTATTTTCCGATCCTCACAAAATTGAAAATGAGGTGGGCTCGAGATGATCGCAAAATATTTAGGGGTTGAAATGGAGTTGAAATAGAGTTTAGGACAGAAAAATTTTCGGGCGAAAATTTCCACTACACCGCGAATATTTTAATCCCGGCCAAATCACAAATGCACTTAAAGGTCACATCTGACCATTACAGGTATGCTGATAGCCAAGATATAGGATACATAGTGGTAAGGATATTACGTCTCTGTAAATTTATTTGTAACATGGAGAAGTAAGCGAGATAGACCCATAGTTACTTTCGAAGATCTTCATAGAATCACTTTTTGAGTCGATTTATGTCCATAAATGTGTATAAAATGCAGGTCGCATTTATTATCCGATTGAGATGAAATTTTCCAAACTATATTTGTTTGGCCCAAGGACAAACTCTATTGAAATTAGTGATAATCGGATCAGATTTAGATATAGCTCCCATACATATCTTCAACCGATTTCGGGTTAATTGTGCACCAAATGGCAAATATCAGTCCTAAAGTCCTAAGTCTGGGTATATCCCCCCGAATTCAATCCAGAAGCAAGTATATGGAATTCGGAGAAAATCGGTTCAGATGTAGTTATAGCTCCCATATATATGTTTCATCCGATTTGGTGTTTATGTGCCTCACATTGTGGACCTATATAGACAATTCCGTTTCAGGGGGTAAAGTGCTCACAGAGAACTCCGTGTGTGGATTTTCAGACAATACGATTGGAAAATGTGGCTAAAATCATCAAAATATCGAATATCACGGGGTACCGTTATATGGGAGCTAAACGATATCGTGGACCTATATAGATAATTCTCTGCCGAGGTATAAAGTACCCACAAGAAACTCCTTGTGTGGATTTTCAGACAATTCCGTTGAAAAATGCTGGTAAAATCATCAAAATACCGAATATCGGGGGGTACAGTTATATGGGGGATATACGATATCGTGGACCTATATAGACAATTCTCTCTCAGGGGGTAAAGTACTCACAAAGAGCTACTTGCGTGGATTTTAAGACAATTCCATTGAAAAATGTGGGTAAAATCATCAAAATACCGAATATCGGGGGGTAGCGTTATATGGGGGATATACGATATCGTGGACCTATATAAAAAATTCTTTTTGAGGGGGTAAAATGCTCACAAGGGACTCCTTTTGTGGAATTTTAGACAATTCCATTGAAAAATGTGGCTAGCATCATCAAAATACCGAACATCGGGGGTATCGTTATATGGGGGCTATACGATATCGTGGACCGATATAGCCCATCTTCGAACTTGACCTGCCTGCAGACAAAAGAGATTTCTGTGCAAAATTTTAGCTTCCTATCTTAATTCCTTTAGACTGTAGCGTGATTACAACAGACGGACAAACGGACGGACGGACAGACGGTTGTGGTCCATGGTCATGGCGATGGTCAATGGTCATCCAATATGCTAGAATTTTTCACTGTCCTTTCTTCACAGGCGTTGTTTTTGGTTTTGGGTTAATTTGAACCCCTAAATAGTTTGCTTTCATCTCTAAAAGTAAGAGGCGCCTCTGTATCTCCAAATTTAGACTCATTTGGCTATATTCATCAACGAAATCTGCATAAAAAAACCAGAAGTTCGCCTTTTGTGTTTTTTGGATTTCGCCTATAAGTTATTTTCAGCGTTTCGGTAGAATGGAAATGTTGGTATTTTTTCACACAAAAGTAGTGGTCCATTCTACCCGCTGTCCTAAACTCTAACTTCATGCGAACCAACGGACACGGTTTCTATTTGTGTTCTTTATAGCGACTGCATAATCAGGAACATTTTTAGTTGTTGGTCCATTTCAACCCCTAAATATATTGCGGACATCTTTGAAATCAATAGACCTATCCCTTCTGAACCTTGCCCTACCCTTGTGAAAATTTTGTGAGGATCGGATAATAATTGCCATCTGTATATAATTACCCCAACCTGTGTTGTAAAAAGAAAAAATATTACAAAATGTACACTTCAACATTTTAAGTCAATTTGAAAAGTCGCATGCGATAAAAAATATTAAAAATTAAAAAAATGTCACAAAATACAACTATATCTATATTAACATCGTTATTGGCATCTTCTTATGCAATTTTTTTAGATTTTATTCTTTCATGTCAAGAAGGCATTCTGAATTGACAAAATTTGTCAAAATCGGTCCAGCCATTTTTGAGTTATAAGCAATCTAACAAACATCCCCTTCCTTTGTATATACACATTGTATATAATTCGCTATATATATAAAATATGTTTACTATCGGCATGCACCTAATGGTCAGAATTGACCTGTTCGTCTATTTGTGATTTCACCGGGACTAAAAATATTCGCGGTTCAATGGAAAATTTGAGTTTTATTTAACACAAATGTTATGGTCTATGTCACCCACCAAATATCACCCGATGACCATTAAGATTGGAAAACTTCTGCCCAGCCCTAAGTTCTAGCCCCGTGCTAACTTCCGCTTCGATTGGTCTATAATTGCAACCTGTAGAGCAACTGCAAAATCAGGAATTTGTTCAGTTTTTGGTCCATTTCAACCCCTAAATATCTCGCGATTATCTCCTAAAGAAATAGGGTTCTATTCTGCCCTTAACCCCACCTCCATTTTCAATTTCGTGAGGATCGGACCATAATTGCGACCTGTAGAGTGATTACAAATTAACATGGACAGACGGACAGGCGGACGGACGGACATACATAGCTAGATCAACTCTGCTCGCCGAGATAGGAAGATCCATATATACTTTCCTATATGGGAAATCAATATTTCAAGGTGTTACATAATTTTTGGCCCAATCAAACTTATAATACCCCCAACACAAAGTGTTGTAGGGTATAAACATTAAATTCGGCCGAACTTTTAATACCCTCCACCATTGAGTAAAGAAAACATTTTTATATAAAAGTATCTGAATTCAAACGTGTTCCACTTTAAACTACAAATACCAGTAAGACCGTTTGGATAATGATTTTCAAATTTTCAAAAAAGCATAAAGTGGGTGACGCCGTATCAAAACGAGAACATCTATAGACAGTATTGTATTTCAAGGATTGTCATTTACCAAATCTTCTTAAATACCATTTTTTGAAACAATTTCGTGGGTAAATGTGACTAGATTATCAAAATACCGAATATCGGGGGTGTCGTTATATGGGGGCTATACGAAAACGTGGATCCATATATACTATGTTCCGCCACCGGAGCTAGAACCCATTACGAGCTACAAATACCATTACTTGTACAAATCAGTGGAGAAATGTGGCAAAAATCATCAACAACGAAATATCGGTAAGTACGGCTATCTGTGGGCTATACAAAAACGTGAACTTATACATACAATGTTTTGCCACTGGAACTATAACCCAAAATGACTTACAAATACCAATTTTTAGACAAATACACTGATCCGTAGAAAAATGTGGCAAAATATGGAATATCGGGAGGTACCGCTGTATGTGGGCTATACAAAAACGTGGACCTATACATACAATGTTTCGCCACTGGAGCTAGAACCCATTATGACCTACAAATATTTAAATATCGTGATTCCAACAGGCAGTCAGACGGACATCGTTAAATAGACTTAGAATTTTATGCTGTTTATGTATATATATATACTAGCTGGCCCGGTCCGCGTTGCCGGCCCGTAGTTTTAGTCTTTAATGCAAATTTTGCATAGCATAATATTTCACAAATCTAGCTCATAACGGTGAACAAATTTTAATATAAATATTGATTCGACCAAATAGAAATAAATTACTTTTGAAGGAGGGCAAAATAATTTCTGAATAGTCAAAGTTAATTACGCTTTTACACCCATTACCATAGCACCTCAAGTTGCGCATTAAAGTCCCCAAAAAGTCTATGTTCTTGTTCATAGTAAAATTCAATGATGATTAAACAATACCCGCGTTGTTGTCCGCCAATCTGTAAACATCACTATAGATCGGCGGGCCTGGAGACTATATGGGGACTGTACCAAAATATTTACGTATGTTGACATTTTTCTGTAAGATAGTTCTCTACTCACAAAGTAGCCTAAATACAGCAAATAATGGCCAAATCAGTTGAAAAACGTGGCCAAGACCACGGTTACAGCTGTCAGGTCAGGGATACATTTATATAAGGGTTATACCAAAACGTGGCCCAACCAATATTCTCTTGGGGGTTACAAATTCAATAGAAAACAACATTTTTTTTCTGACCACCAATTAGATGTGAAAGTAGACTTGGGGATACTCCAAGGTGGGGACTTTACTTAAATAAATTCCTATGTGGCAATTATCTGTATGATGGTTCCCTACCCCAGGGTAGCATAAATACAACCTTTAGCCAAGTCAATTAATGAATGTGGTCAAGACCTAAATGGGCCCTACTCTGAAAATTTCAAACTTTATGCGAAGAGGTTCTCTACCTCCTTAGAAACAAAGATGCCAAATAATGGACAAAATATTAAAAAAGTGACCAAGACACCAAAAATAGCTTAAATCATACGATGATTATATAAATATGAAATCCGTCAGTTATGATCGATATTATGACCTGCAAAAGCGATTTAAGGTATCTTGAATGTTTGGGAAGAATTTCTGGAAGGATAGAAATCCTTTTCTTACTAAGAGTCCCATTCGCTCTACTATTTTCCACCCTTATATTCGGTATTTTTCTGATTGTACATTGGACGGATTATTGTGACAGGAAAGATGTAGTTCCACGCTTTGAAATGAGGCCCATTAGGCTTCTTAGGTAATTTTTGTTTGTTCAAATGTGTTCGCATCTTCCAGCTGAAACACGATGTCGGCCCTGGAGTTGAAAGGTAGAGTCAGTTAACATCGTATTTCCCACTTATTTCATTTTTTGGTGAAAATTTGTATATAGTGAAAAATTATTCTTTATTTTGTTCATAAAAAATTTACTGAATTCAATTAGATAATACAAATTGAAAAAAAAATTGACAAAAGAAGAATAACACATTGAAAAAATCTTTAACTTGTTCGCTGATGCAAAGCAAATGCAGCAAATGTTTAAAGATCCGTATATAGTTTATCAATAGAATGTACTTCTATTTTAAAATTCGATTCCATTAAATTATTTCGACATCATCTATTCCGTTTCGCCACCACATAATTCGGTACTACACTTCCATGTAACTCGACATCAATTTCATTTCTCAAGAAATCAAGTCAATTAAATAAATTGGTATTAATATTTGAATTCAAAAATAAAATATAAAAAACACTACAAATGTACATTAGAAAAAAGTAAGTCAAAATAGAAAAAAATCATGCAAAATAAAACATTACTATTGTACATTTCAAAAGTCAAAATGAAAATGTTAATATATCACATTTTTACGCGATTTTTTTGGATATTATCCTTTTCGGAGAGGAGACAATTCCGAATTTGTATGGATCGTTAAAATCAGTCCAGCGGTTCTTAAGTTATAAGCGTAGTAACTAACACAACTTTCTTTTATATATATAGATTTTATGGGGGTCTATGACGAATATTTGTGGATGTTACGGAATGACAAAGTTACTATACCCTAATTTTCAAGGTGGAGGGTATAAAAATATTTATTGGAGCAATAGATATACCAAACCGAGTCTCACCAAATGGAAAAATTTGGTTGAATACGAAGAAATCTATTCATATTGGATTGATATAACATATATGGTGGACAGTAACTATAATATCGGATGAAAATGTATATCGAAGGTATATACAAATCTGAACCGATCTCGATAAAATTTGGCAGAGGTATTTTTGAGTTGTATCTAATGTACGGTATCAAATATTCTTATTATTAAGCGCATATTGCGCATGATAAATACCATATCAGATGAATCATATATATGGAAGATATAGCTATATCTGAACCGATTTTCGCCAAATTTGATGTACTGGTCTAGACTGAATTCGGTCGGCCGAAAATATATATGGGAGCTATATCTAAATTTCAACCGATTCTCACCAATTTCAATATGGTACGTCCTTGGGCCAAACAAATATTGTTTGGAAAATTTCATCAAATCTTGGGAAGTATAGAAAAAGTATTGGGGACTTTTTGTATGGTCAAATCTACAATAGTTAGTATATGATCAAGGGATCTAAAAAAGTTTGGCCTGAACATCCAACCTTTTTTTTGGCATTTAATCTTCTAGGAATTCCCCACTACCCAGAGCACGACCCAACAATTATTGAATAGTAAATTGCACTCATACAAATTGTAACATTAGAGTGGAACATCCTTCAATTTTACACGTTCCAATATTAAAGGTACAGGGAAGATCAAATTTATCGGTCAAACGGTCAAATTTTTAAAAATAATAAAATCTACGAAGGGATCAGGGTCCAGGACTAAGTCCAAACTTTGTATATAGCAAAATTTGTATTAAGATGGAAAATATCGATCTAAACCTATCACGAATGGGTGCATTAACTTCACATGTTAGAAAACATCTGAATTCAAGTGATTACTAATGGGGAAACAGAAAAATAATTTGGAGCGTATTTTTGTTTTCCTATTCTGCTGATATATTCTTACAATAAGAAACTGGGGAAAGCGGCCAGCTTTCTTTGTGAATTATAAAAGGTCCATTAAAGGAAATGTATCATAAAATATCAATTGGAAAGCCAGTAAAGAAAGTCTTAAAGTCGGGCGGGGCCGAATTCAATCGGGCGGGGAGAATTCAATCATACACGCTATGATTATAATTATAAGTTAAAGTTCAAAGGACTAACTAAGCCGAAGCATTTGTATCTTTTAAATTCGGACTTGTGTTGGCCATTTCGTGCACAATTAATTTGAAATCAGATAATATATATATACATACATATATATATATATATATATATATATATATATATATATATATATATATATATATATATATATATATATATCGGAGGAACAATTTATATATGGGACCAAAGCTATATCTGAACCGATTTCGATCAAATTTGGCATACTTATTTCAGGTCCAATCTTATCGTACGTGCAAAATTCCATACTATTCGCACTGATATTACACGTTTGGTAAACAATAAAAAGCAAATCGGACGAAGATATATATGGAGCTATATCTAAATTTTGACCTATTATCTCCAATTTCAATAGGGTTCGTCCTTGGGCCAAACAAATGATTTGTGCAAAATTTCATCTGGATAGGGCAATAAATGCGAACTGTACTTTGTTTACAAAAATACATGGACAGACGGACGGACGGACGGACGGACGGACAGACGGACGGACGGACATGCATAAATCGACTCAGAATGTGATTTTATGCAGATCATCCAAAGGAACTATGAGTCTATCTCGTTTCCTTTTGCCTGACCACCCTGTGGTGTAGGGTATAAATAAAGAACTTAATGTTTGTTTCGATTTATGTCTTTCCTTCTAGAAGGTATGGCTATAAATCTAAATCGGACATTTCTCTAATCAATGTCAAGAACATCCCACAGCAGAGTCACCTGATGCGTTGATGAGTGAATGATTGTTGACATTTTTACAGTTTTTAAGAGTGCATAGATAAATCTGTTGTAAATGTCACCATAAAATTCTAAGCTCGTAAATCAGTAACGGCCACAATCGATCAAACACATAAATGCACCTTTCTACAAAACAAACTCTTAAATTCACTTCTTTTCCAAGAGTGATAGAACCCTATAAAATGCAGTCGCTCTTACCAGCTGAGATTAGTTCACCTACGACAATGAGACATCTTACATTGCTGCTAATAGGTATTTTTTTAACTTTCAAAAAAAAACCTTTGTTCTTTTTCTTTAAATAGATTGTTTTCTTTAAGGCTTTCTGGGATTCTGCTTTGCATCTGAGGAGCTGCAACGCAAGCCGCGTAATGCACCCCAGATATACTATACTCAACAAGGACCTCCAGGACCGCCGGGACCACCAGGTCTTCCTGGGCCAATGGGCAACAAAGGTCCCAGGGGACCCACGGGTGACATTGGACCTCAAGGTACGCAGGGACCTCAAGGATCACCCGGGCCGGATGGACGAGATGGACCGAATGGTATGCAAGGACCACATGGCTTGAGAGGGCGACGTGGTTTCCCAGGGGCTCGAGGACCCCAGGCCAGCCGGGTCCACCAGGTTTAATGGGACCTCCTGGACCACCCGGCCCAGCAGGAGCATCGGCACGTAGCATGTTGTCTTATATCGAGGCTGAAGATGAATATGATGATGAATTTTGAAAAAAATGATTTTAAGGAATTTTGAAAGAAGTAATAAATTAAAATTGGAAAATTGAATAACTTTGAGTTTTCTTTGTCAAAATTTTTCATAATCGTGTGAATTAGAAAAAGTGAAAAAGGCGTAAATAGGGTTCCGATTCCACCCACATCTTATTTTTGTTTAAAATAAATTTTTGTAGTTGGCAAAATATCCAATCAAATTCTCATTTTTTAATGACTGACAATGAAAGTCCGAATTTTAAAGTTTTTTTCTTCCAAATCATTTATTCCTCATTATTGTAACTGTTTTGTGGTATGGTTATTAACGGTTTCCCATTGGTATACCATAGGCCGGTGGTTTGTCCCAAGGTGGCATATGAATTACCATTTTGTGCGGGAGGTCCTTGGGGCCCAGGTGGGCCCGGTGGTCCCTGATGTCCTTGTCTACCCATGGGACCTGGTCTGCCCATAGGACCGGGAGGTCCTGCGGGGCCTGGAGGACCCGGAGGTCCTGGCGGTCCAGGTTGTCCAGCAATTACAATGGGTAATATGGCTGTTTGTGGCATCATCTGTTGTCCCTCCTCCTTTTCCATGTGTGAAGATGGCACCTTACCAAATCCCGCATTACCATTTAAGTTCAGGCCAAATTGCAAATTGGAATTTGGCAAAGAGAGACGTTGAGAATTATAATAGTTATTGGACATTTTCTTATCCTGATGATAACCGCCACGATTCTCCAGGCCATAAATCATTTGGGGTATAACAATTTTGACATTATTATCCGTTGCCATGGGTATGACGCTGGGATATAAGTAATCGGGCATCTTGCGGTTATCGTTTTCCTTTTCCTCTGGTTCTTCTTCGAAATCGTCTTCGGTGATTTGTGGTTCCTTGGGTTTGTCCTTTTTCTGATACATGTCATTCTGGGAGTAGACAATGTATTGGCCACTATTTTCACCGGGCTCTCCAATGGAACGGGCCATGGCAAAATTAGCCAAGGATTTTTTGGAAGCGGCAACGCTGGCAGGTCCCAAATTAGCTACCAGGGATACTAGAAATACTAACAAAAGAGAAAACAAGTAAGTTTTTCATTATCTTTGTTTTTGGAGAAATTTCCTATCTTACCTCCTATTTTCATGCTTTGCTTCATTTTGTCCAACTATGCTCGGGTAGGAGTTGATGCCAGGGTTTTATATGATTCAGTTTAACTATTGGTTTTGTGGTTTATGTTTATTGAAATTTAAGAATTCCGCAAATTGATTCAGCCGATTTTATCTTTATAGCTCGGGATCTACGGAAGATAAAAAGGTTTTCATCAATTCATCTGTTTTGGTTTTTCTTGGAATAGCCGCACTTTTTCGATTTTATTTCCAATTTCTAGTCATTTGTCAAATGGCTTATCTGCTCCAAATCGCACTGCATAAATTACTGTGTTATGGCTGTCAGAGAAATGAGAAATGCCCCAACCAAAATGTGGGAGAAATTTTTTCGTTTGATGTTCAGGTTGATGACTTTTTGCAAGATTTGAAATCATCTCCAATCAATTAACAGCTAATTGAATATTGGTTTCTTTTCAATAAAAAACTAAATAATTTTTTGGAGAAATTTTCGAATGCAATTTTAATTTTATAGCCACAGTATACTATTTACTTAGTTGATTTTTTATAGAGATAAGATAAATATTAAGTATATATAAATATATCGTTAGTCTGGTACTATGGTCTATAGTTCGAACATTTCAAATTTTTAAAACTTGGGGTTAAATACTTGGAATCGATATAGAAATTATTTGATCGAAATTAGTTTTAATATGTGAATTTAAGCTTGATAAAATTTGAAAATTTGTTGAATGTGATGAAGGCGTGAATTGTGTGTAGACCTTTGAAATTTAAGGTCCGACCAGATAAAATCCTACAAATAAAGGTTCTGTGAATTTGAATCTCTTTTGATTGGAATGAACGAATCCCTCAAGGTATTGGGCAACTTAATTGAAGTACGAAAAAAATGATTCCAATTATCAAATCTCGTTTTCTAATTATCGATTTTCAGGAAACGTTCTCTAGTAGGACATTCCATGTATGTGATGTGTATGTATGTATGTGGTCCATTCATTTAAAGGCCTATCTTGGTTTTTGACTAGAATCACGAGGTCATGCAATTTTTCGTGTCAATTGCACTAAGTTATGGAATTGGAAATTTATAGATATAGGGTTCCTGGACTAGGGCTATGTCTACTTTGGCTTTAGTGAGAGACAGAAGGAGTTCGGCAGAAGATGCCTTGTCGCTTGTCGAAGTGAAGTTTTTCCCCATTATCCATGCCTTTATGCTCCACTTTCCGAGCTTAAACAGAGTAATCGCCTGTTGTTTGTCTAGAAGTAGGGTTTTTGTCTGCCCAATATTGTGGGAATGCGTGCCGGATCCATAGAGAGGGGTGACACCCATGACGACAGTATATTTCTGCAAGGAATTTCCTTTTTATAAAAAAACACCAGTTTAACTACTTTCCCAAAGTTCACCAAATCCAGTCACTTTGGTGACGAACGAGTTCTTAGACTCTTCATTTTCACAGCAGATGACCTTAACTTCGTTGTAAATGATGGCACTGCCAAACTGCATCCTTTTAGGCTCCCCTTCCCGAAAAAGTCAATTTCCCAGACAGTCTTCGCTTTGTCTCGAAGACTTTGGCTTTACGGATTATGTAAGACATCGCTAAAAAATATATTAAAAAGGACGGGTCCAAGGAGAGACCTTTTTTGATTCTTTGACATTTACTTCTCTTTCTGATGAATAGTTTTCCCGAAACTTTTACGTTTACGTTTCGGGAGCTCTATTCTCCGCGGTGGAGATTTCTTTCTTTCGGGCCGTCACGAAACCCTCGTCGAAAAAGGTGTCCACAGGTGGGCTAATCTTTTTACCGAGATTAGTAGGAGGGAGTGTGAGAGAATCGTGATCAAGAGAACATTTTAGTAGTTGTAGGTGATTCTTTTCGAAATTTCGCATCTTGGGGTTCATCTTGCTTAAAATTCGGTCGGCCAATAAACTTTTACCATCTGTCCCTCTATTTGCCTCCTTTGGGTAGATGGTGTCCTGGGTAGCTGTGATGCTGCATGTGCACCTGCTTTACCGAGTAGGTCACAATCCTAGATAACATCTTGACTTTCGAGATTAATCTTATCTCTTTTAATACTATTCGAACAATTATATAGCAGATTTCCAAAACCACCACCATATCTTAACCACAGACACCAAGAGAGACATTTATATTAAATTTCATTTCTATTCCTTTTCGAAAAAATATAGGACGCATTTCCAAACCACCATCAAAACTCAAACAAACATACCATCAGTAAATATCAAATTTCAGAATATTATGTCTATCCCTTCACCCAATACCAAATGTAATACCATTCAGTACTTGTCGGAACTTTCCAAAACAATTTGTACCAAATTTATTACACATAAGTACGAATCTCCAAATCTTCCAACGTATCCCAATATTCCAAATCCAATAGGCATCTTATCCAATCTAATAGATATCTTATTTTCCCAATTTCAGGATTCCAGTTCTATGGGTTTACTCAAAATTATATTGTACCAAATTTAGTACATATAAGTACAAATTACCTAAACTACCTCCATATATCAGTCCTCTAATCTGACAGGACTCCTATTTAAAATTTTCAGGATACCAGCTCTATTATCTCACCCAAATCCAAATTGTACCAAATTTAGTACCAATTGGTACACATAAGAACAAATTTCCATAGCAAGATAAAGCTTGCAATCCAATAGAAATCTTATTCCCAAAATTCAGGACTCCAACTCTACCGGTTTCCCCAAAATTTAAATTGTACCTAACATAGTACCATATAGTACACATAAGTACGAATTTCCTAAACTTCCTACACACCCCAATCCTACAATACAATAGCAATGTTATTTTTAAATTACAGGATTCCAACTCATTCCGTTCACCCAAACTTAAATTGTACCACATTTAGTAGGCATAAATACAACTTTCCAAAACTTATATACCTTAGTCGTAAAATGCAATAATAATCTTAATTCCAAATTTCAGCATTCCAGCTCTATCGGTTCACCCAAATCCAAAATTGTACCAAATTTAAAACAATTTAGTACTTTTTTAACGCTCATAAGTACAAATTACGGAAACAACCTCCATATCGCAATTCTACTCTTCGGAAGTAATGTTAATTTCAAATTACCCCAATTCTACTAAGCAATAGCAACGTGATTTTTAAATTACAAGATTCCAACTCAATCTGTTCACCCAAAACATAAATTGTATCACATTTAGTGCACATGAATACAACTTTCCAAAACTACTTATATAAAAGGTGATTTTTTTTGAGGTTAGGATTTTCATGCATTAGTATTTGACAGATCTCGTGGGATTTCAGACATGGTGTCAAAGAGAAAGATGCTCAGTATGCTTTGACATTTCATCATGAATAGACTTACTAACGAGCAACGCTTGCAAATCATTGAATTTTATTACCAAAATCAGTGTTCGGTTCGAAATGTGTTTTGCGCTTTACGTCCGATTTATGGTCTACATAATCGACCAAGTGAGCAAACCATTAATGCGATTGTGACCAAGTTTCGCACTCAGTTTACTTTATTGGACATTAAACCAACCACACGAATGCGTACAGTGCGTACAGAAGAGAATATTGCGTCTGTTTCTGAGAGTGTTGCTGAAGACCGTGAAATGTCGATTCGTCGCCGTTCGCAGCAATTGGGTTTGTGTTATTCGACCACATGGAAGATTTTACGCAAAGATCTTGGTGTAAAACCGTATAAAATACAGCTCGTGCAAGAACTGAAGCCGAACGATCTGCCACAATGTCGAATTTTCAGTGAATGGGCCCTAGAAAAGTTGGCAGAAAATCCGCTTTTTTATCGACAAATTTTGTTCAGCGATGAGGCTCATTTCTGGTTGAATGGCTACGTAAATAAGCAAAATTGCCGCATTTGGAGTGAAGAGCAACCAGAAGCCGTTCAAGAACTGTCCATGCATCCCGAAAAATGCACTGTTTGGTGTGGTTTGTACGCTGGTGGAATCATTGGACCGTATTTTTTCAAAGATGCTGTTGGACGCAACGTTACGGTGAATGGCGATCGCTATCGTTCGATGCTAACAAACTTTTTGTTGCCAAAAATGGAAGAACTGAACTTGGTTGACATGTGGTTTCAACAAGATGGCGCTACATACCATATTTTGAGTGAAAACTTCGGAGAACTATTCATCTCAAGAAATGGACCGGTAAGTTGGCCACCAAGATCATGCGATTTGACGCCTTTAGACTATTTTTTGTGGGGCTACGTCAAGTCTAAAGTCTACAGAAATAAGCCAGCAACTATTCCAGCTTTGGAAGACAACATTTCCGAAGAAATTCGGGCTATTCCGGCCGAAATGCTCGAAAAAGTTGCCCAAAATTGGACTTTCCGAATGGACCACCTAAGATGCAGCCGCGGTCAACATTTAAATGAAATTATCTTCAAAAAGTAAATGTCATGGACCAATCTAACGTTTCAAATAAAGAACTGATGAGATTTTGCAAATTTTATGCGTTTTTTTAAAAAAAAAGTTATCAAGCTCTTAACAAATCACTCTTTACCTTAGTCGTAAAATGCAATAATAATCCATATTCCAAATTTCAGCATTCCAGCTCTATCGGTTCACCCAAATCAAAATTGTTCCAAATTTAGAACAATTTAGTACTCTTATAACGCTCATAAGTACAAATTACGGAAACTACCTCCATATCGGAATTCTAATCTCCGGAAGTAATGTTAATTTCAAATTACAGAATTCCAACTCCATTGAACATATTGACCCTACTACTCAACCTTGAATACCATTTCAAATTTCAAGTGTTTAGCTCTAACCGTTTATCTGGTACCAAATATAGTACATTTTAATACTTGGAATACTAGTGGGAATTTCCAAAAACTCTCTTTCTCTTTTCAAATGTAAGAGTTCTATCTCTATTGGTTTAAATAACAGCTGTAAGTTAGGCAGGGCCGATCTTTGAATACCCTCCACCATATGGAACGATTTTGGCAATTTTCAAAAAATAAAATTCGCTAAAATTTTCTTTCTTTTAAAATCTTAAAAATTTCTTTTTAAAACCTCAAAAATACCGAATGTAGCCGTTATATTAGGGTCTATACGACGAACTGGACCTACATAGGCAACTTCTGTCATAAACCATTACGATATTCAAATGCGAAACTTGAGTAAAAAATTGGTGAATAATGTTGCTAAAATCATCAAAATACCGAATATAAGGAGGTACCTTTATATTGAGGCTATACGAAAACGTGGACCTGCACAGGCAATTTTCTGCCATAGG